TGATCTTCACATGGAAGAACTCATTTCAATACGCTTCATCGTCACTGGATTAATACGTAGAAGTTACGTGATTCTTGGGATGGAATTCATGGCGGTTTCCAATGCTTTTGTTTTCAAATCGTTTGAAATAGAATATATTTTTGCTCAATACTACAATTATAATAAAAACGTTTTTTTTTTTTAAATTTTGTTCAGGTGTGATATTATAATAAAATCCGATCGGGAACACGAACTCCAAGACAATATAATATGGTAATCATACTTCATAGAATAATGCGTTATAAGTCCTCCTCAATACCATGGTACTCCCTGCCGTCCACAGTTCAACTAAATTATAAAGGATATACGATAAATTATTTCAAATAAAAAATCTTAATCCAATTATGCTTGCAATTTGAAAAGCGAACAATAGAATAGCAATCACAATTATTTGACTTTCTCGATGAAATGTAAACATTCTAATTGAACTGGCGCCATATTGTATTCCACAATGAGTGGGGCACTCAATGTTTTTTTCAGACGTGAAAATCACTTAAGGTTTACGTGAAACTAACATAGAAGCTGTGTATGTGGATTTCACGTAAGTTTCATTAGAAATATCAGTGGCTTCGAATGGCATATCGTTTGATGTCTAAGCAACATCTTGTAGATTTTACTTATGCCACGTGAAATTGACTGAAAACAAAAAAGTGAGACTCTACGTGATTTTTCACGTAACAATAACGTGTCAATTATTTTGAGTGTAGGTATGTTAGAAGTGAATTGAACGTAGGGTGAATGTGCCGGTCTTTGTTATGTTTATGGTGTGGTATGTGTTCTGGATGCGACCTTGAGAATTCCATAGACCTTGGGTGAAGCGCACCGTGATGGGAGAGTATGGCCGTTTTAACCAAGATGACTTCGAATAATAAACAGTTTCGGGGACTTCGTTTTATTTCCATAGCTTTGTTGAGTATGCAACCACTCGACGAACCCTCGAAGGAATATTATTATTTAAAAATTATTTTCAGCTCTTCAATGATGAAACATCGTTTGAGTTCGTTGATGATGGAACATATTTGGATTTATATCGTTATGATTAGTTTTTCTCTGTCTTCACTCAGATTAGATCCATTGTTTTAAATAATATAAGTTTAATTTCAGCTCTTTGAGTATATGACATCATTAGATTTACATAACAATATTGCACCTTTTTCAGTTTTCATTCATGCTGGATGTATGGATTTAAATTATTTAAGGTTTTTTTCAGCTCTTCGATCATGAAACATCTCTTGAATTATTTTATAATAATTCATTTAAACTATTGAGCTTTGTATTTCACTGTTTTACCTTAGAACTAGCCTACGATTAAAAATCTCTTTAATCAGGATTTGAAAAACTTTTTTAACCTGATGTTCACCCGATTTTTGGTTGTATGAAAATGTATTTTCAGATCTTCGATCATGGAACTCTTTTAGATTAACATTATAATGATTCTTTTTTCTTTTCAGCTCTTTGATGATGGAATATTGTAATGCTTCAATCTTTTCAGCTTTTGCCTTGGTTGAATCTATTGATTTGATTTGTGTACATTAGTTTTCAGCTCTGTGATGGTGGATTTTTGGATTTATATTATAATGATGATTTTTATTTCAGTTTTCTTTGAGGCAAATCCTGAAATATAGCTTAACATGAAGAAATTCTCTTAATGTAGCGTATCGTCTACCAAAACGAACCCAACCCTTATATCCAACATTCCAGTGATTTCTCGTGGAAGAGTAGAGGATTTCTCGGTTTCGTAAAACACGAGTTTTCACGTCAACATATTTCTACCCAATTTCAATTGACCTGCATTCTGACGCGCCTGGCGCTGGTATTGCCCTTTAAAAGTATGAGATTACCAGTTTTTACACATTTAGGATCAATGCTAGTACCAAGCATCATCTGTTGATTCTATATGTAATTACAGCTGATCTGGCAGTAACGGAGTAGCGGACGCGGGCGGTCAATCATACTCATGCTGATATTTCATTCAGCTTCTACCACAGGTTCGTGTTGATGTCAAGCAGACGGTCTACAATTATAATTATCACGTAAGGAGGATGGAGAAACCTGCGATGGGTTGAAGAAAGTATACGAGGAGGCCTGTTGTTGTTGGTGCAGCTTCACTTGGTTATTTGGGTGAGATCATTCCTATTTATTTATTTATACAGTAACCCCTCCATATCATTAGGACATCAATTCAGCTTATCGTTTACCAAAACGAACCCTGCTGCAAACCCTACCCTCTTATCCAACATCCCAGTGATTCCTCGTGGAAGTGCAGAGGATTTCTCGGCTTCCATTAAAGCAAGTGTCACGTCAACACATTCCTACCCATTCCTTTTTTGACCTGCGTTCGGGTACGGCCGGCACTGGTATTGCCTAGTTTGAGATCCCCAGTTTTTACACATTGAGGATGATTGCTAGTTCCAAGCATCGTCTATTGTTGCTCTGTGTAATTACAGCTGATCTGGCAATAACAGAGTAGCAACCGTGGGCGGTCATTCATGTTAAAAAAGAGGTTGAGCATAAAACCTGTCAATTTCGTTCTCAGAGCGTCACAATCAGCGATTTACTGTTCGTAAGCGTTCACTCAGTGAATCGTAAAATCGCTAATTGTAACGCTCTAAAGGGTGATACGGTCAAAATTTGGTCAAGGGAAAACGCATGTAAATCGGTGAAATCGTTTATTTAAAAAATCAAATTAAATTTCTTTTTCAAGTTCAATTAGTATAAAATTCAGGGAAAATATTCAGTTAGGCTTCAGCTTTTCCAAATCCGAATTGCCGGGCCTTACGGTTGACCCCTGCCATCAGATTTTGTACAGCCACCTTGTCCACCTTCTTCGCCGCAGAAAGCCAGTTTGCCTTGAACTGCTGCTCGCCCTTAGCAGTTTTTTTGGTCTTCTTTAGGTTCCGCTTGACAATAGCCCAGTATTTCTCAATTGGGCGGAGCTCTGGCGTGTTGGGAGGGTTCTTGTCCTTGGGAACCACCTGCACGTTGTTGGCGGCGTACCACTCCATGGCCTTTTTACCGTAATGGCAAGATGCCAAATCCGGCCAAAACAGTACGGAACAACCGTGTTTCTTCAGGAAAGGCAGCAGACGTTTATTCAAACACTCTTTCACGTAAATGTCTTGGTTGACAGTCCCGGAAGCTATGAAAATGCTGCTTTTCAAGCCACAGGTACAGATGGCTTGCCAAACCAGATATTTCTTTGCGAACTTTGACAGTTTCATGTGCTTGAAAACATCTGCTACCTTTCCCCTTCCTTTTGCCGTATAAAACTCCTGTCCCGGAAGCTGCTTGTAGTCGGCTTTGACGTAGGTTTCGTCGTCCATTACCACGCAGTCAAACTTCGTCAGCATCGTCGTGTACAGCCTCCGGGATCGCGCTTTGGCCGTCGTATTTTGTTTATCATCGCGATTTGGAGTCACTACCTTCTTGTAAGTCGATAGTCCGGCTCGTTTTTTGGCTCGATGCACGGTTGTAGACGATACACCCAGCTTATTTGCGGCATCTCGGAGAGAGAGGTTAGGGTTTCGCTTGAAACTACCGGCAACTCTCTTTGTCGTCTCAGCGGCTTCCGGTTTTCGATTTCCCCCCGATCCAGACTTCCTGGCTGTCGACAAACGTTCCCCAAACACTTTAATTACATTTGTAACGGTTGATTTGGCAACTTTTAGCGATTTTGCCAACTTTGCGTGCGAGTAGCTCGGATTTTCGCGATGCGCGAGCAAAATTTTGATACGCTGCTCTTCTTGCTTGGACGGCATTTTGACAACTGAAATCAAAATAGGAGCAACATTCTACACACACACACCTTCAAAATGAGGGGTGTTCAGGTTTTTTAAATGCAAAATTGAAAGAAATACGTCAAGATGATATTGACCAAATTTTGACCGTGTCACCCTTTAAAAGCAATATTGTCAGGTTTTATGTATCAAACGCATACTTTACAACCTTTTTTTGTAACTCATAAGTACTAATCGTCTAATGACTTCATAATTACAAAACCCAATTTTGTATAGCTAGTGAGTAGAGGCAAGCCTGACTCCATTTGCAACGCCAAAATGACCTTACAAATAAAAGAGGCATTCAATCACAAGAATGGCCTCAAATTGTTGAAATGGCAATTTAAAATGTTTTGAATATCCTAAACAAAATCTCTAATCCACGGAATTATCCTTCAAAACGTCATAATACCAAAAATCAATAAACGGTGATATTCAAAATTCTACTTTAGTCACGATTTTCGGCCCCTCGCGTTTTTCTTGTGAAGCAAATGCTATCTTCGTCACGTTTAGGGTACGGGATACTGCTCATCGTGTAGCAGTGAAAAAGCGTAAATGTTTTGCAACGTACCATATCAACTAGATAATACAGTATATTAAATTACTTCATCATTTTTTATAAGATTTCTAGAAGCGGTATTTTAGGCAGATACATATTTTATACCTTTGCAATATGATGTGCGACTTAGATCAAATTATAGGAATACAGCACTGACCAACTCAACCAATTAGCACGAATTTCAATTGCTCCTGAAATGTCAAGCTGGTTGATGCTGACGCTCTGTTTACACTACGCTGACTACTTTTTAGTACAGTTCTAGTACATTTCTAGTACACTAGTGCTAGCACACCAGCACAAGTGTAGACACCCCATAAAGAGCGTAGCAATTAAGTAGAAAAAGACCATTGAGTGGCATGAGTTGCCATCCAAATGAATTACCATTTATCTGTCAAATGTCCTGTAGTGGATTACAATGACTTAGAAGTGCAAACTGAACGTAACGTGATTGGAAAATAGATACATACTGAACGAATAAAGAGATAAGCATTTCCCAAATAGATCACTGACGACAAAGTTGCTTTTAAGGCGGCTCCTAGCATGCACTCAACGTGCATACTAACTACCATCACCGTACGTTCTAGGGGAGGGGGCCATTTCGGATGCTCAGCAGATCAAAGTCTGAATTTAGCGATTTAAAAAATTATCTTTATTTACTTAATAAATACCATCGTCGGTGTATCATCTCTGTACAGATTCGGTCATTCAGTTTCCTGATTGGTCCTTTTTCGTCGTTTCAAAGTTCAAGCTAACGGGAGTAAAAAACATCCAATTGAATGTGTACACATGAGTATTGTTTGTCTGTGTTTGTGTGCATCTTCTTTCCGGTTGGACCGTCGACGGGCAACGTCGTTCGACCCAGTCGGGGAAATCTATGTTGTAAAAGTTGCACGTCGCGCGCCAATTCCGGCCTTCATCAACTCAGACGGATGCGTCGTCGCCTTATCGGTGCTGAGTGCATCCGTCGGGTGGTGGGTGGGGGCTTGGGCGCGTCCGCAAATCAATCGAGATTAGATAGAACGCAAAGTACAATCACGTTTCAGAACCGGTGGCAGGCGTTAGTAGGTTGCCTCGTTGTTTGATCGCGCCCTTTTTCTCGTGCGTCGTTATACTATATACATACACTTCCAATTGAGAGTTTTGTGTCCGTTGTCCATTGTTTCGAAAGCTGCAGTCGCTCGCGAAAAGTTGCTAACCCGGCGGCAAGGTGAGGGTTTGTTGAAGTTTAAGGGGGAATTATGGGTGGGGGATAGATTTAAGGGATGTTGAAATAAATAATATTTGGCAGTAGGTCCGCGATGGATAGCAGCTCCGGGAGATTTGCTGAGGTGGGTTCTGGGGTTATGGCAAAATTTAGTGGTAGTGGACGGCACCGTGAGCTGGGGCGTAAGCCTGTCCGTAGACAGCCGGGGAGTGAGCGGCGTACACGGATGGGGCATGAGCGTAGGCAACTGGGGCAGCATGAGAGTAGTAGGCTGGGGCAGCGACGGTCTTGACGACAGTTGGAGCCTGAGCGTAGGCAACTGGAGCAGCATGGGAGTAGACAGCTGGGGCGGCATGGGAGTACACAGCTGGGGCAGCATGAGAGTAGACAGCTGGGGCGGAATGAGCGTAGACAGCTGGGGCGGCATGAGCGTAGGCAGCTGGGGCGGCATGAGCGTAGACAGCTGGGGCAGCGGCAACGGTCTTGACAACGGCTGGGGCGGCATGGACCTGTGGAAAAAAGGAATAACTCAGTTAGATGGATGCTGCGGAACCGAATGTATGAGGTAGTTGTATTACCGATGGACCAGACTTGGAGACGACGGCGTTGAATCCGTTGACATCATCGGCGGTGTAGTCGACGGTGCGGACGGAACCATCGGGTTCAACCAGGGAGTACTGTCCCTTCACAACATCACCATCACGGCTCTCAACCTGCGATTTCACATCTCCGGTAAGACCATCATGGACTCCATAGTTGAAGGAGTACTGTGGGTGGGACTGCAAAGAAAAATGAAGAAACCAAAGTCAACGCATGGGTAGGTATAAGTGTGATTCAGTTACGGACGCACTCCGTTATGGCTTGCGGGCTGACAACAAACTTGACCTTTACATTCTTTGGATTGAAGCGATTTTATGGCACCTGAGCAGAGCACCCGAGGGGTGGGCTCGAGTAGAGCCACGGGAGATTTATTGCGTACCGACTGAAAATGCTGCACTCCCTCGGTCTACGGAGAAGCAGAGCAAAGCGGAGTGCAGAGAAAAATTACGTTCACTCCTCGTCAGTCCCCACCGCTCCGAAAGGCACTGGGTTGGAAGCGAACGAACGGCTGATCATGCGTTAGTAATCAATCGCAAGCGGTAGTAATTATTCGCGATTAAAATCAATTGAAATGCGACGACGCCGCAGGTGGTGTTGACACGTCAGAATTTCAACCAATACAACGAGGTTCATCACTTCACCCCTGTTGAAGTCACCGGGCGTCATTTTGCTCGTAGGGGGGAAATATGGAAATTGAGATGTCACCCTTCCTGCTCTGCCACCGTGTTGATTTTCCCACTAATGAGACTCCAATTATGGATGGACAGGGGGAAGCCGAAGGTGACATCTGTAAGTAGCCGTCGCTAATTAGAACCATAAATAGTTGTGACGGAGGTGGCTCGTGGAATCTCCAAACATGCCCCGGTGATCTTCGCACATTGCATCGGGGCGGGAAGGAAAGGTCGATCGATCGCGATCGATGTGAAATGCGATCAAGGTTGGGTCATTAATGATGGATTTTTAACTGCATCAGAGTTCACCGTCGCCACACGGTCAGTAGTCAGATGACGCTGCTGGCCGACCTTGCATTGGAAGTGAGAAAAGTGCTATTGAATAATCGAGTGCATTTCTCAATGTTGATCGCCGTCGGTGTGATGACGATGGCGGTGTTGATGATCATAAGGAAGTTATTGGTAACGAGAGGGGCTTGGTTGAAGCTTGTAGAATGTGGCGGGAAGGCAATGTCGTTTAGGTGGGGGTTTGCTTTTTTCAGGTAGGTGGAAATTGAAACAGTTTGAAGAGGTCGGGGTCGTGTTTGTGAGTCTCTTCAGCTTTGCATGAGACGTTGCTGTTGCTTGCATGCGATATTGGTTATGAAGAAAGCAAAAATTGGGTTAAGTTATTGAAGGTGGGATGACGGGCTGAGTTACCTGCTTAAGATTCCCAGTTAGGTAATTTGAAAAAGTCGGAGCAACCAGGAAGACCACCGAAAATTTGGACAATTTGATTAACCGGTTATGAAGAGTATCTCATGCATGCAGTTCAAGATGACCGCTGAATTAAGTGCCGATACATATGGATTGGGGCATCCTACAAAGAAGTGGCTAACAGCTGAATAAAATAAATGAGATCTAATAAGACTGATTCGGGACGATGGCTGGGAATAACATTTTTAAATAAATTGTTTGTGATTGAAATTTGGTAACAGGGGTAGCAAGAAACCAATTTTTATGCAATCAGCAGGAATAAGCTTAACTGTAAGTGAATAAGTACGGTCCCCTGGAACGTTCCAATAATCCTCATCCCAACGTTTCCCGAACAATTCTAATTATAATTATAATTCTGATCCTGATACCAAAAGTTGGTGTTGTACAGCCTGAAATACCAAAAGAATGGCATGCGAAATACTTTCTAAAAATCAAAAATAGATATTTTGATACCCTAAGAATACCTGTGTGGTATCGTTTTGGTAATGCATTCGCTGAATTTGGAATTGGAATGATATTGTGGGAGCATTTTTTGAATGAAATTTGGAATAATTGTTTGGAAATTTACCAGGAATAATTTTCAGACTATTTCATACCAATTTATGGTATCGAAATATTCGTTCCTGCTCGGGTTGGGATTCCCGCTAGAAGAAGTTTTTTTTCTGGTGGGTTGAGATGATATCGACCTTAGTTGAAGTATCTAAGAGACTGAACACGATCGTTATCATCTTTACGAAAATGTGAAGCTTCTGAGCAAAATTTCTGAAAGGTAGCTCGAAAAGATTGATAAAATCTGGTTGGAGTGGACTGTAAGCCACGTTAGCATGTTTTGCTAGGCATCACCACACTGAATGTGGTAGGAAATCTTATGCTACTTGTTATTTACTATCTGTCACTTGTCAGAATGTTGGGTTTAGATATTGAGCATTGGCGGGGATAAAATCACATTTTAATTCAGAAGTACAAATTTATTCGATTTAGGCAACGAGTCAAGTCACCTCCAAGCCCGATAATTATTCGATTTACACCCTTTTTGCAGAATGAGGTTAATATATTCTTCTTCTTCTTCGCATTTTAAGCGTTTTGCTTATCGCATATTAGCTTATTGCTTTCAGCTTTCAATACCCGTACCATTTTTGCATTGTGTAGCAAATACAATCATACTTTATGCCCAGGGAAGTCGAGAAATTTTCCAACCCGAAAAATTCCTAGACCGGACCGGGAATCGAACGCAGCCACTTCCAGGATGGTATTGCTTTGTAGCTGCACCTTTACCGTCCCTGGAGGGACTTTTTTAGCTGGTTAAATCGGTTTTTCTCTGAATAAGCTGCTTTTCAGCTTCGATTGTTCGTTAGGAGTAACCCAACATGATTTTAAATTCAAAAACAATATTTTAAAACTTGTGAACAAGTGGTTTGGATTCCTGCAACCCACCTTAGAACAGCCAACAACCTACCGATGAGAAACAGCCCAACAATCATTCAAAGCTGAAACCGAGGTAGTCCAAACAAAAAAATGTTCTTCTTCAGCTAAAAACTGGCTTGTTCAGCACCTAATCAGCTCAAATTATTTGCTGGGAATGCCCTATAGAAGCGCTGCCAGTAGGCCGGACGTGGTCTCTGGATCTCAACAAGGATATCATTCTAGTCCAGATTTATTCATCATTATAAATTTTACAACATAATTAATGAGAAATGAACAAAATGATGCTAATCGATCAAATATACAGCCATTTAAAAAAAATCAAGTTTAGAAAGGTTGGGCAGGCCTGCTCTACAGTGACTATCTTAACTGAAGATCAGCCAAGACATCATCCAAGAGTGCTTGAATGGCCGCCAAAAAATGTTGATCAGGACGACCAATGGAGTAAGCCTTCAGTTAAGTGGAATTGGGACAGCATCCAAATTGGAAGTTCAAGAGAACTACTGGAAAAGATCATTATTTATCATCAGAAGCCACTGAATCGGCTGTGGTAAGCTGGTGAGGCCCTGCGTGCTGAAAAACGGATACCAGATAACCGGTTCTGAATGATCTCCCTGCAATAATCTTCATAAATGGTAGAATGGGACATGTAAAATGCCATCTTAGAGGCTAATAAGTGGCGGTTATGGATGATTGATTAGTCTGTTGGAAGTGAAAAACACCGAGGGACCTCGTACAATAGGTTTGAGACCGCCACCGATGTAAACACTCCAAGCTCGTTTACCGATGATGAGTGAATATGATTGCTAGTAACAGATCAAATCATTGCAGATTTAGTCAATATCGTATATAAGAACAAAATTCACTGAATGCTGCTACAGTTGCATCGTTAATAGTGCAAAATTCCTATTAATATTAAATCATTTGTTTGTATCGTACAATAATACAAACTAAATCGGACAAAATAGTTTAAACATTCTAAATAAAAATGTCTTCACGAACATTTGGGTTGATTGAAGGTCGATCAGCTAAATAGATAGCTAAATAATGTTGACTGAATAAGCAATAATTCAACAATCGCAAAAAATCAAAAAAGGAGCTTAAGGCTCACATCTGGATACTGATCCACTAAAGCTTTATAAAATTGCTTTCAATTTCCACAACTAATGTAAAGGTCACCATCCCCTGCATCGTTCCCCCTTCCGAAATGTACTTACGTAGTAGTCTCCCTTGTATTCGGTGGCCAGTGGGACAACACCAGCGGCGGCAACTCCGAGGAAAGCCACGCAGACAAGGGTCTGTAGATGAAAAGAAAAAAGCAGCGATCAGAGAAATGAAGTTCACGAAGCACTATGTCAAACATTCTGAGCAAAAAAAACGATCACTTATTTGCCGGAAACACTGGATTTTCAGATCACTCCAACCAATGCGCACAAATGAAAACTACCATCTTATAGCGTCCATTTAAACTGATCACTCGAAGGATCCGAATTTCATCCAGCGAAATGATCGATCCTGCACCAGAATTCACACAACAATTCACTCACTTTGAAGAAAGCCATTTTTGAGTTGGTTTGTTTTTTTTTTTCTTAGAGGTTGCTTCTAACGCTCGACGACGAGTTCTGAACTGTGAATGATATCGGTTTGATTGCACCCGGGCACTTTTATACCAAACTCCACCCCGTAGATCGATCGACCGGAGTCACTACCGTGCTAGTAGATTGCCATTTTTCCCGCCGCAAACTTTTCTCAATTCTCGGCATCTATGGGACCCGAGGATCCAAGACTTCGCACGTACCACACCCCCGTCACCACGCGCGCACACACACATGGCAGTTCTCGTGGGTTGTGAACCCTTTTCCTCGCATTTGTCGCTCAGCCCATTCTCTCTCACTCAGAACGAATAAATGGTAGCCGCAAATCAATGCGTCACTAACGAACTAGCGAATGGCCAACGTCTCTAATAAAACTACAGCTTGTGTACGAGAGCTCCGGAGAGCGAAAAATTGTAACCCGCCAGCGATCAGAACCCCTGCACTCGTTTGGCTATTTTTTCTTATTTTCGTCGGTCGGAGCGGCGTTCGTCATCCGTCCGTGATCATGTATAAGACAAATAATACGCCAGAAAGGGGTCGGTTCCGATCGAATGTAAACATACTAGGCGGCTCAGTGCGATGCGGACAGCGATCGTGCGAAGAAAAAAGTGATCCGCATTCTCTGCTGGCAGCGTGACCAGGTGGCAACGGAATGGTTGGACGGTCGGTTGGCGGGAAATTCTTGCCATAGTCGTGCTCTATTGGTGACTGGTGTTATGTTAGAAATTATGTTTGTTGATTCTGATTGGTATGAAGCAGTATGGCACTTTGTGCAGTAATGTAGAATTGGTGGCTTTGGATAATAGTGACCAAATTTTAGGGATTTGCATTGTGGTGCAGCATCTTTTTGGAAAATGCGAGTCAAAAGTTATGGGCTGCCCCAGGTTGAATTGATGGTGAAATGTATGCATTAACGTATTTTAAATTTAAGTAAGTTTAAGTGAGTATAAGAAGAACTTGAATGGAATCATCATATTTGATCGCGATAAATTGGTATCCAACAAAAAATGTGGTGGTGGTGGTGTATTAATATCAGTTAGTGTACATAGAGTATGAATCAGAGCAAATCTCAATTTGCATATGTTGGGAGTTCGACCATGTTTGGGTTAAATTTTTTGGGATCGAGTTCACATTTTTGCAGCATTTTATTTCCCTCCAGAGCATGGAACAAAATAATCATTCGAAAATGTTTTAAGGATGTCAAATAACATTATTTCAGGATTTAAGGCTGAAGCAAACGTTCAGATATACAAAGATTTTAATCAACGTGCAGACAATTTTTTTTGTTGATGATAAAAATGAATCCTTTTTTATTCCGATTGTAGAGGAAAAAGAAACACTTCATACTCTGTTCGATAAATGTGCAGCAGTTGGACTAAAGCAAGTGAATCACATCAAAAATCAAAATAACTGTTATTTAGATTTGCTTATTGCTAATATGGCTGATGGTTTTGGCATATCTGAGTCCCTCACTCCACTTGGGAAAAAGTAAGTGTTCCACATGGCAATTGAATACTCTATATTCATACACGAAAAAACGCAATGTAAGATAGTAATTTGTCCGAACCGTTCTTTGATTTTAGCAAAGCAAACTATGGACTAATCAAAAATAAATTCGACTTTATAGACAGGCAACCTCCACCACATAATTGTAGAACAAGCAGATGATACATTCTATCAAATTATTTATGGTTTTAGAGCAGTCAGTGCCAATGAAAGAAAGAGAACAAATACCAAGGAACGAATAACTTAGAAATGGAAAGCAGAAAGTTAATAAGGCTTACTTTATGTGACTAGCGGAACCTAGAGATGAAAACTGCATATGAAGAACACAATATGCAGTTAGAAAATGACGTTAAGTCAAACCTAAAATTATTTTTTTTTAATTTTGTTAAGGCCATCGTTCGTACATTTTGAGCCGTTTCTCTGTGATTTGGGTGGTTTTCTTGGAAACGTCCCGAAAATCCTGTGAAGGAAAGCGAATATCGGGAAACAAATTCCGTCCGATTGTAGCCAAGGATTTTGTTTTCCTAGTGGTGTAAAATTTGGGTGGAAAGTGCATTCAACTTCTAGTGGTGTGCTTTTTCCGGGAAAGTGGCATTTCCACCCAAAGAGAATATGCACGTGGGGTGTTTGATACTACTAGCTATTTCTCCCGTCAGTGTATATGTGCGCGCAAGGAAATGCAATCTTGCGCCTATGTTTTCCCGGGAATTTCCCAAGAAAGTATACCATATTTTTATACCAAGACTATGCAACTATGCACAACATGATGGTATACATAAACATATGATTCTCGAAAATTTGTAGCATGGTTTTTCAATTTCCAAACCATGCGCCAAACATTCTCGCTGTAAATTCGTCACGGACATAGTAAAGAAGCAATCAGCAATTACGCATTTGTTTTACCACGTTGCCACGTTTTCTTGTTCCTTTGTTACCGGATCACATGTTCGTGGTCCACGTGTCCTTTTTTGCTAGTTCGCTCATCATATCAAATTGATCAGGAGTTCTTCCGAAATGTCAAAAATTATATCGAAGACCTACGATGGATCGGAAATTGAAATTGAGATCTCCATATATTCTTTCATCATATCAAACTGAACAGGAGTTCTTCAAAATCTTATCTTATCTATCGAAGACCTACGACTTATCGGGAATTGAAATCGAAACCTGCATATTCCCTCATCACATCAAATTGATCATTAATTCTTCCGAATAATCAGAAATTATATATAAAACGTATGACTAATCGGAAATTGAAAATGAGTTCTCCATATATTCCATCAACACATCAAATTGATCAGAAATCTTTCTGTAGACATTCGGGCAGTTAGAATATATTTCAAAATACAAGGATGGTCAGAAATTCTTCCAAACTATCAAAAGTTATATGGAAACCCTTCGATTGATTGGAAATTGAAATCAAATTCTCCATTAATTCCTTGATCATATCATATTGGAATTATCAGGAATTATTCCGAATAATAAGAAATTATATCGGAAAATGAAATTGAGTTCTCCATATGTTCCCTCATCACATCAAATTGATCAGGATTTCTTCCAAATTATCAGAATTAATATCGAACACGTATAACTAATTGGAAATTGAAATTGAGTTCTCCATATATTCCATCAACATATCAAATTAATCAGAAATCCTTCTGAAGAACTTCGGGCAGTTCGAATGTATTTCAAAATTCAAGGATGATCAGGAATTATTTCGAAATTTCACCGAATTATCAGAAGTTATATGGAAACCCTATGACTGATTGGAAATTGAAATCGATTTCACCATAATGTGTACCCTATGTACCATATCAAAGTGTTTAGAAATCCTTCCGGATTATCAGAAATTATATTGAAGGTCTTCGACTAATAGAACAATTGCAACCGAGTTTCCATATATATCTCAATCAAATCAGGTTGATGAGGAATTCTTTCGAATTATCAGAAATTATTTAAAAAAAAAACTATTTCTGACCAGATATTGAAATCGAGCTCTCCTTATTCTATGACCATATCAAATTGACCAGGAATTCTTCCGAATTATCATACATTATATCAAAGGCCTACGACTGATCGTAAATCCAAATCGAGTTTTCCATATTTTCCTTCATCATATCAAAGTGATCAAGAATTCTTCCGAATTATCATATATTATACCGAAGGCCTTCGATTAAAAGAAGAATTGAAATCAAGCTCTCCATATATATCCTTTTCCATAAAATTGAACAGAAATTGTTCTGGACATTTTTGGTCAGTAAGAATGTATTTACAAAATGTAATAATGATCAGGAATCATATAGAAGACTTTCAAATCATCAAAAATTTGGTTTAAACCCGTTGAATACTATCCATCAATGTCAGTTTGATAAATAATTCATTCGAATTATGATAAATGATACGAAGACCTACGATCGGAGATTGAAACCGAGTTCTCCATATATTCCCTGGTCATATCAGAGTGATCGGGAGTCCTTCTGTTTATCTTTGGTCTGTAAGAATGTATTTTCAAAATTTAGCATTGATCAGGAGCCATGTAGACGATCTTCAAATTATCTTGAAATAAAACCATTTGAATATTCTTACATCATATGAGATCAACGGTGCCGGTGGTGTAGTTGTAAGCGTGATTACCTCTCACCCCAGCAGGCCTGGGTTCAATCCCAGTCGGTGCCACCGGGATGTTCTGAGGCATAACATCTCTGATCACGCCTTCCTTCGGAAGGGAAGTAAAGCCGTTGGTCCCCGGTTCATGAGTTGATGGGTCGATAGGTAGGGTCCAGGTGTGGGAGCTGCCTTCCTGGCACGTCGGTAGCATTGGTGCTCAGCACGGAAAACAAGATCGACGGAAAAAACAAACCAAAGGAAAAAAAATCATATGAGATTGGTCAGGAATTCTTCCGAATTATAAGAAATTATTTCAAGGACTTCCAAATTATAGAAAAAATTATATTGTGTTCTCCATATATTAGCAAAGATTTTCGGTCAGTTAGAATGTATTTTCAAAATATAAAGATGGTTAGCCGAAGGCTTTCAAATGATCTTAAATTGAAATTCAATCTTTTGAATATTAGCGCCCCATATGAGATTGATTGAATTTCTGCAATTTATCAGAATTTATACCGAAGACTTACGACTTACAGGAAATTGAAATCGATTCTCCATATATTCGCTCATCATATCAAAGTGATCAGGAATTATTTTGATGACCGTCGGTCAGATAGAATGTAGCAAAAGTTCGAATATTAAAAGGATTTTATTTCAATTTCTGACCGTTTACAGATCTTCGACATGATTCCTGATCAACACTATATTATGAAAATACGTTCTTATTGACTGAAGATCTTCAGAAGAATTGCTGATATATTTGTTATAAAAGGGGCGCCGGTGGTGTAGTGGTAAGCGTGATTCCCTCTCAACCCAAAAGGCCTGTCCAAGTCGGCACCACCGGGGTTTTCTGAGGAATAAAATTTCTTATCACGCCTTCCTTCGGAACGGAAGTTAAACCGTTGGTCCCCAGTCCATGATTTGATGGGTCGATAT